CACTGACTCGGTATTGGAAGACATCTGTGGTTGCACATCCATATGGTCCATCCACAGCCAGTCTACAGCAACAAGACATTTAGTCAAGGGTCAACAGCACATAAAATGACAGAAAGGTTGACATCTGTAGGGTTGCATATTTTCAAAACTGAATTTCTGTTAAAATGAAAGAGAAAAGACATGTCTAAGATGGCACATAAATTGCCCATACAAATACATTTAATTTTCAGTGGGTGCCACTTAGTAGCAAAGCAACTGTCTTTTCTGAAATGAGAGAACAAGAGCACCCATGTGGGTTTGGGGCCTGGCCATCTATTTAAGCATGCAATTGCAATTTTCTGGCTTTCTGAAATGTGATTAGTCATATAATTGCATGTCCAAATTTAGCTGCAGAATTGGCATATTTAATTATGAATTACTGAAAAGCATCCTGTTTTAGAGCTTTACTTGCTATATTGTATATAGCAAAGTAAAGAGGAACAGATTATATAGATCATTTTGAAAGGTTCTGTATTTGAGTAAAAGTAATTAAAGGGAAGGCAAGAAAGAGGTCATCACATGCAAGGAAACTACTGTTTTCTCAGCTCTTTCTGGAAAAGCAGTATTTCAGGAGCACAGCTTTGGCAATAAAACAGTACCTAATATGTGTCATAAAGACAGAATGGGTAAGGAGAAATGCTTGTTTATGTTACTACCTCCTATAATCAATGTTGCTGATGCTGAGCAATTAATTTTGGTCAAAAGTTGAGATGAAAAAGATTATTGAATAGTCAGATTCATTCCTTTAGCAACATGGAATGTAAATACACACAGTACTTTGGAGTGCTCTTTCCAACCTGTCTGTATACAACATATGTGCTCTGGAAGGTGGTTTCACTAGCACCCAGTCCTTAGGAAAAAAAAGAGGGTTTTTTTTTGTTTCACATTTTTTCTCTTGTTTTGTGCTCTTTATTGCATGAATCATCCTTAAAATTCAGCTTCAATACTACAAATATGTACACATAATTAGAATGAAGTGTTTTAACAGGAAAAGAAAGAGGGATCACCAAGCAATGCTACACACAAATATAGAGACACAATATATCTCAAACCCCACTGTTGCATTCTTAAAAGTCCTAGCAGATGTTTTGTCTTTCATTTTATTTCAGTATTCCAAATGGTCTGCAACTGTGATAGCAAATGCAACAGCTACTCAGGCATAACTTTTGGAAAGCTGGACTCAGACATAAACAAACACTATTTTTTAAAAACATGTATTGCTATTCAGATGACTGCCCAGTCCTCAAAATTTCCCTTAAAATACAGTTCATTTATGGTATACAGTGCCCAAGAACAGTTTTCAGGTAAGCGTTCTATGTAGTTCAATGTGGGCTTGAGAGCAATTCTCATTGTTGTCAGTAGATTGTGAAAAAATTGATCTGGAAGGAATTTCAAGAGATTCTCTGGTTTGTCTCTGTGCTACAAGACAGGTTCCATTATTTCTGAAACATTCCTTGCAGAGATTTGTCTTGTCAGTCTGCTCCTAAATCCTCAGGTGACAGAGATCCCATCATTGGTTTGAACACCTAGATCAGCTGTAGCTAGAGAGCTTATCCAGATACAAAGCCTCAAAGAAGTAGGGAGGAAAAAGAGGAGAAAGAGAAACTGAGCTATGCAACTCATTCATTTGATCTAGAGAGAGAGGAGGAAGCTAGGAAGATAGTAAGCAAAGTGACAAAAATAATTGCATTTGCATTTGCCAAGGGAGGAGTAGAAAATAGTTCTATGGACTTTCTAGCTGTGGTTTAGATTGTCCATATTCTGTGTCTTTCATGTCCACCATTTCATTAGAAATAAGCATTATGCTTTTGGAGAAGGCTGGAGAAGTATTTAGTTTCAGAAAAGTATCATTAACAGATTCTATGATTATTTTATGCTGATCAGCATGACTGTGTAGTACTCCTGACTGTAAGAGAAGTTAGATTTTGGGACAATATGCTAAAACAGAAATGAAGTGAGCCAAAATCCTGAAGAGGTATAATATGGAACTTGATTATTTTCACAGAACTAGTCTGTTCTGTGGTCTTATCTCACAAATTGGTCAGAAATCACAAGTAACTGTCTTTGCTACCTATATAAATACTTGTATATTTTATTTTATTCTTCTTTTATGAATTACAGAATGTATTTTATTTTTAGAACCTTACCTTATCATTCAGTTGCTACATCTTCTGTCCTATGCTCAGTTTCTGCTATATAGGCTATTTTTACTATAGTCACCAATTTGGTGTTTATCTTCAGATACTGAAACCTGTGAAAATGGCTTAGATTTTTGCTTTGTTGCTAGCTTAACTATTGAAATATTCTTTTTAGCATATTTCCAAAAAGCAACTGTATGATGTCATTAGGCACCCTAACAAGATTAAAAAGGAGAGTCTTTGTACATGACAGTGCTGTTAATTTCAACCCTGCATTGTGGCCAGTAACATTTGAAACATTTTTCTCTTTCTCATTTTTTACACTTGCTGTCAATCACTTTGAACTATTTTTGCTTCAGTTCTGCTGAAATGGCATACTTCTCATTCCAGTTGCCTTTAACAAAGGCACAGCTTTAATTTATAATTCTTATTAACTGATATAATGCAAGAACTGGACCAGACTTTCTTGTCTTTCCCCACCCTCTATATAGTTCTATAGCTCAATGGTGTCTATAAGCTGTCCAGGGAGAAATCAGTCTCTCCAGTCCCAAGTCCTACAGAGTCCACCAGAATTTAAATGATCATGTGCTGGGCATTTCTTTGCTGAAAATCTCTCTTACACCTTCAAGTAGTGCAAGAATAGAACTACATGGTTTGAATCCATTACATATAGAGCCAGATGTTTAGCTGGTATAAGTAAGGATGGCTCCATTAACTTCAGAGCAGCTGTGCTAACTTGCAACAACAAAGCATCAGCGTTTTGCTTGGATTAAGATGCCACAGATATAGAGTTTAAACACCTTTATAAAGTGGAGCAGGTTTGGGAAACTGGAGCCAGAGTTGAGGGAGACCGTTGTAAAGAGGTAAAGTTCAGGCAGAAGTTTCTGGGACCACAAAATATCTAAGTAACTGAAAGGGAAAATCTGGAATTTTGGATGGCAGGTGATTAGTACCATCAGACCATAAGCATACAGGCACAAAGCTATCAGATAGCTTCCAGTGTCATTTGAATTCACTTATTAAACACTATCTGTCAAAATAGGTATCTTTAGTTGTAGATATGGACATTAGAGAACTAGATCATAGCGACAGAGATACACATATTGATGTGGACTTTAAATCTTGAATTGGTCATCACATCTTGGTAGCTGCTGGACCCAGTTCATGACTGTGCTTATTTCTGGGGGTTTTTCAACATAATGTTGTAGTTATGGATCCAGAACTGCAGTCTAATACTGTATCATAAAGAACACACACAAAATCAATTAAAATGTTGACATTTATTTTAAAATGTAGAAATGACATTTTAAAATTTATTGTTTATTAGTCAAACCTTGGTAACATCCACAATTCCTTGAAAGCTTTTTCCTCTGCTCCAAAGGCCTTGAAAAGGGCTGTAGTCCAATCCCCGACGACCCGTATGTGAACACTGAAGTAATCTTCCTCAGGAGCTGACGTGAGGGTGAAAGGGTGCCACTCCAGCTGTGATACAGATGGGCACTGTATAAAGATATATTGACCAGGTACCATTTTAAAGCCATGTTTCTTCATGTGAAGCTCAAGGACTCCAGAGGAATGTGTCACCACCTAAAAATAATAAAAGGACCCATTTTATTTTCCTTCAGAAGAGTAACTATTTGTTTCCATTAGGTTACAGGTGACTTTGCAATCATTTCTAATGCAAATTGGGATGCACACTGATTTTTAAATGCCCTAACCTGCATGTTGCAGTGTTGTTGCTGCCTAATAGCTTGAGAGCACACACAGTATGTATAGTGGGGCAGCTTGTTTTCTGAGCGTAAGAGGCAGAGGAAAGGTTGCAACAATTCAACAATTTGTCAACTTTCTTAGTATAACCTGCGCAAAAGTATTTCTTAATACACGGAATGGTTTCCCAGTTTTATTCTCATGTAACACAACTAACATTTATGGGATTATGAAGAAAAAAGCCCAATGAGCTCAATTCTAATATATTTTCATTAAGAGCTAATCTCAGTTAAGCAGCATTTTTATGTGTCACACATAGTATACTGAGATTCTCAGATCACAGCCACTCTGCGAAACAGCAGCAAGACTTAACCGATATGCTTTTCCCCTCACACAAGACATGCCTGTTTCTTATTGCCACCTTGATATGTGTGGACTGGGTTGCCTCAATAGTGGCATTTTCCATCCATTCTGCTGTGGCACACAATGGGCCCTTGGCACACAGAGATATTTACAGCTGGGATAAATTGTGACAGTGGTATTAGTGAACCTTTGACTGTATATGCTAACTGATAATATAACCCTTCATCTCCTTGGAAGCCTCAGATTTCAAAGTAAAAACTACTACTGAAGCTGAGGTTGTCTCTGGCATTTACTGCAGTGGAACATGTTTTTAGTTCATTAAAAAGAGAGACCCTCTGCACAGATGTTTGTGTTATGGTGGTGTAAACTCTGGTACTTCATTAATCAAACTTGGTCCCATATGGAATATTCTTACAGACTTGCTATTGGAATAAATTGAAAACCTAAAATCAATACTTGGCTGAAACCATGGTAATAGCTGCTGAAGCTAAGAGTGAAAAATGAGGTCCTAATATAGAGAAGTTAACTATGAAAGATAAAAAAGTCACTGACATAATTATTTTAATGCAGACATGCAAGCTATATTACATACCTTAGTAATGACCACCTCCTGTTGAAATCTCCAAAACCTCACAATTCTTTCACAGATGTACAACACCATAGGACTTAAAACCCACTTCCAAGCCTGTAGAAAGTTGCATATTAAAAAACAACATTTATTTGAATGTCTACAAACATACTTTGCTTTTCTGGTTTAAATCAACAAGTAGCCTAAAATGAAATTATTTGGTTTTCTTCTGTGATTTTTGGTTCATCTTTCTCAAGAGAGTATTTCTGTTGCCATTGTAACAGTTCTGGATTTCTTGTGGAACAGACTCTTTCACAAATGCACTCCAAAAGCAGTACTAATATCTGTCTGTATTCTGGTCATGAAGAGTTCTTTAAAACCTTTTCCTACCAAAAGATAAAAGGATTAATCTATTTAGATGTTATATACAGATATCATTGGACTTGAAGACATATACATGTATACATTTATACAATATTACCCATAGCTTGACTAGTTTTTACTCCTCAAAGTCTAATGTATTTCAGGAGGCTCACATAGGAGTAGCTCTTAATACCAGCTGTGAGTTTTCTGATGATGCACAAGAAAACATTAAGTCCCAATATTCAATTAGAGGAATGGGGTACATTTGCATTTAATCCATTAGTCCACTCTGTATCAATAAATATTGGGTTTTGATCTAGGATGCTAAGCTGGTCATACTTTAAGTATTGCAGATGATTTTTGTGCATGTGCTTGCTAATTGTATATAATGATTACTATAACAATCAGAAATACTTGGCTATTCAAGTCTACTAGCTGATGATTTCGCTGAGTTGCACTGATAGCTACGATAATTAGATGTAATTGGATCTTCATGAATCAAAAAGAATTTTTCTTTTTTTCCTAGAAGAGATATTGTTTTATTTCCATTTTTTTTAATTACACAGCTCATTCTAGAAAACAGAATACTCCACAATCATGTGGCTTTTAAAATCTCCAAAGAATAACTTTACTTGCTGAAACATTGACTTTGCTCCACAAGCTGGGTAACAGGGGTTATAAAGCATCTTTTATTAGAAGCAAGCCATAAAATTATGTGGCTTCCTTAGAAAGTGCTAAGAGGATGGAGTGGCAATTTCCCAAGGTTAAGTCTTGAAAATTAAATTAGGAAAAAAAAAAGCATGATTTAATAATAGGGAGAAACTAGCATAAGCCAGAAGATTCTCAGTTAAAGCAGAAACTCAACACATCCGTTGTCCCTAAATACTACAGGTGTCTCTGCACAGTGGGTAATCTCATGTCTTGAATATATTTGCATATATCAAGCCACAATAATGATGAGATCTGTTTTTCCTCCCTTCCATTTGTGCTACCTGTAAATAAAAGCACGTGACAGGAATGATAAGGTTGCAGGCTACCCTGTGCAAGAGCTCAGCTGAGATTTTAAATGTGCCTTCACTCCAGTGCAACGGAGCATTCAATCCAAGATATCTTTTGGCTGGGTTGGGACAACATGGCATCCACCAGGAGAGATGGGCTCTTAAGCAACACGGCTCCTGGCTGGCTAATCAGGGCATCAGTATTCTTGCACAGGTGGTGTTTCCTCCTCTAATGAGAATGAACTGAGATGGGGCAGTTATGGCTCAGGAGAGGCTGTGAGGATAATAGTCTGAGTGCCCTGGGTGCAACAGAAGTGCTTTGTTGTCCTCAGTGGGAACCAGATTTGTCTCCATCTTACCTGCTGAAATATGGAGAAGGGGAGCATATGTGGCGTGACTGAGAGAGGGACTGGTCATGGTAGCTTCCCACAGGAGCCATGGCCAGCAGGGCATGCACACTGGTGTCACTTCACACAATCCCAGCTGTGTAACCAGGCTGTCCCCTCCCTGCTCAGTCCCTGTCCCTGCCAGTGCTGTGCAAGGCTCGCCATGGCTTTTTAGCCTCAGAATGAATTTGTACTGTTTATCTGCACTGCCTAGCAGGTATCACACCATAGCACATTACATATCCAGCAAGGCAGTGTTCGTATAGATGATCTATATGCCATATGGTATTATCACAATTCATTTAAAGTAATGTGACTTTGCAAGTATGGCCCTGGGTATGCAAGAAAGTGTGACAAAATAGGTTTAACACAGAGAAGAGGAAGTTCTTTCCAGTTAGTTTTATGATAATGAATGTCAAGACATGCTGTTGGAAGCAAGCTTGTGTCTGTATTCATGGTGCGTAGCCATGTATTGATTTTTATGGCGACATTGTAGGTGAAATTTTTAGAGAGGCATTCATTTTCTCATTAATATGCAGGTTGGATAGTGGCTAACAATAGTTTAGTCTAAGAAAAATCTATGTCAGTCATTAAAAGAGCTACAAGACACTGAATGCTAATATTTCTCCTTTACTTTAGGATTTCCTTTGCTATGTTTTCTCTTTCTGGGAGAAACAACAAAAACTTGTATATGAGCAAGCTAAATCTTGAGCTGAAAATGTTAAATGATTTTGTTTGTATGCAAGACATCTGACATACTGTACAAGTCTGCTACTTAATTACCCCCTGTGGATTTGCAATCTTGTTCTAGTAAAACCACCCTTCCATGGGACATTTTTCCTGCCTTTTGCCTTTCCCTTTCATAATTCATTGTTTCAAATTCTCTCCTTTTTACCTAACTTAAGACATCAAGGCTGGACAATATGAAGCGTGTGCCCCAAAGCAAGGACATAATTATCTCTCCAACTTATTCTCCCTTGGTATTTCAACTATCCATACCAAAGTACTATTAGTTAAAATAATAATATTAATTTGCATCCCTAGCTTTACAGTTCCATAGTATTTTCTGTATCTCTACCCTCATAAGGTTTCCATTTGGAGGCTAGCTTTGTGCAATGAACACATCAAGGATATTGGGGATACTGAATAATTCAAAATAAATGTACACAACAAATTTAAATAGAGCACAATTCTGATATCCATACCCTTCAAAGGGAGTGTTCACTATCTAAAGGATCTTCCAGAAATAAAAATTACTATTAATGACACTAAAATTGTATACAACACTCTTCATCTGTACCTGTCTATACTGATTATAAAGGAGTTTGGGATCACCATCTTAATGCACAGGGAGAAGTCATGGAACAGAGGTGTGAAACTACACTAAACACTACACTAAGTGCCGGTCACTAACATATGCTCCAGACCCTTGCTCCCTAAGACATTTAGCCTCCCAAAAAAGGACATTAAGTTGAAAACAGAAGACAAACATCACTCTTACCACAGGTTTGTTGCCGGAAAACTGTGGCAAAGGGCACTGAGTGACGTTCTCCCATTCCCAGTAGTGATCTTTACAGTAAGTGACATTGTGAAGCAGCAAACTCTGAGGTGTCTGACCCCGGACAAGCTGACTTAAAACAAAAATATATATCAGTGATATGCTTCTTTGCAATGTTTCTGTGCATCTGTAGTTTTTGCACTAGTAGTTGAATGCTGATTCTGAGACAAATGAAAGTTCAAGAACTGGCTATTTCAACCCTGTTCTGCTCTTCTGTTCAAATTACCTTTCCTTTAGTTTTGCCATGACTTTTTGACCAAAGACAAGAAGTGTGTTATAGTATTGGTATACATCAGTGCAGCTGAATGAAAATGAGAAAATGTACATTTTGCTGTATGTGGCAAAATTTGATTTCTGAGTTCTTTGGAGCAGGATCTTTGACCTCCTCTGTATTTGAGCATCTGGTATTGTTTAGTAAAATAATAAAATTTAATAGTGACAGACCTTCTCTTTCCTTTACTGCTTTCTAAATGCATTTTTAAAAGCTACAAATAAAGTTGGAGTGTAATTAGATGTATACTCTCTAAACATATTAAATTCTAGCTTCTTTACTTCTGAGAATGTTAGTGATGTGAACTTTTCCAAATACATCAATCCTGACTCTTCAGTTTAAATGGGTTTCAGCTGGTGTTGATTATAGCTAGAGAAGGAAGATTTTTATGGGGAAACCCTCTTTGTTTCATATTGTTTCCCTGAATTTTCCCTTCCATACTTACTGCCACCAGTTCAGACAGAAAGACAGTAAAGGAGGTAGCCTTGAGTGAGTTTGTTGAGTCACCTGGGAAGGAGGAAGAGGTGGGAAGTGAATACAGCCTTGGGTTTTGACTCCTTTTCATAAACAGGGTAGTGGTAGGGTTGTGCTGGAGCAAGAGAAAGCCTGAAGCTGTGTGCTCATTGAATGGTATCAATAGGTCTGTTAAATAACTGTCCCCTTTTCAGGGGAGTGTCTTGCTGAGGAGATTTGATCAGCTGGCTAGGCAGAGGGAGTTTACAAATCTGAAGGTTTCAAAGGGTTCATTATAGTTGTTTGAAGTTCAATTCTAAAAGTTTTGCCAGAGAGAGAAGGGAGGGAGACATTTTAATCAGACCAGGATACAGTTTACAGAGTCTGCTTGCAGCTCTACCTCTGAACATTGGGATTAATTAATTGGGTCAATTTCAGGAACACTCAAAGCCAAACTGGATAGGGCAACTCTCAAACCACAAGGAAAGAGGTGAGAAAAGTAACACACCACAAAACATTGTATTGGCCTGTTCCCTGCCTAATGGTGGCACCATCCATGTACCTCCAGAGAACAGGCACATGTACACACTGCTGTGGGCTAGGAAGCTCCTCTGTTATATGTACTTTAGTGGTGGGGGATATAATCTGAATGTTTTAGGAAATAGACATAAAAAGTGTATTATGATAACAAGGACAGACTGGATAGGGTTTTGAGCAACCTGGTCTAGTGAGAGGTGTCCCTGCCCATGGCAGGGGGGTTGGGACTCGGAGGTCATTAAGGTCCCTTCCAACACAAACCATTCTGTGATTTGTTGAACACCAAATGACTGTCCTCAGATCTGAGAAGCTTTACTTT